ATCCCATCATATGACAATCTAAAAAGTTTTGACTGCCAATGTTTCCCTTGTCAATTTGCTGTCTTCGCTGGATATGCCACATCTTGGAATGCATATCGATACAATGATCCCGCCGCTAGCAAGATTTACAGCTCTTGCCAAGTCCTCTCTAATGAAATATATATATATATATATATATATATATATATATATAATATCAAAAGCATTACATTCAACTAATCAGACTATAGCCCCACCGCACAACGTCTCCCTTGAATAGTTCCATCAACTAGTAGTTCTCAATCCATCGACAGCTCTTCTACCTTTTTTAACACCTTACATGACCAACCTCCACATCTCCCTGAACTCAACTCATCCATTATTCTCATGCAATACACTCACCACACCTCTACCTCACAATATGAACCTAATTGCTTACCAACCTCTATATGTACTGGTCATCCAATGCAGAATAGATTGAAAAGAGACGATCTCAAACCAAAACAACTTTCCAACTCCTCTCATACATTACAAACCAATGACCTGACCTTCTCTTTTAGGGTGGAGAAATGAAGAAGGGCGATGTCTCAAGGATTTTAAGTATTCCAAACTTAAGGTACATGGACTCTTTTTTTATCATCTTCAAATCAAAATATTTTAGGTTGCAAGCAGATGTTTAAATTGAAATATAATTTTGATGGTACAGTGGAACACTGCAAAGCACATCTCAGTGCCTAAGGCTACAAACAAGAACATGGCTCGGTGTTTACTAAAACTTTCAGCCAGGTTGCTAAAACGCCAATTATTTGGGTCTCATTGCTATTGCTATTACCCACAGTTGGCCATTTATCAAACTCAATGTTTTTAGTGCATTTCTTCATTGCAGCCTAAATGACACTGTCTAAATATTTCATTCACATGGGTTCAATGACTCTCAACACTTGAATCATGTGTTCTTTCCAAAGAAAGCAATCTATGGTCTCAAACTGGCATTTGCGGCATTGGCTTACTAACTTTACGAGCCATTGATGACATCATGGGTTTGCGTTTAGTGCAACTGATCCATCCCTTCAACTACGCAAAATAAAAAGATGTAACAATGCATATCGTCATCTATGCTGATCATCTATTGTTGACTAGTATTGATTCCATGACCATCTTGAATCTACTCGACAATCTTATATGAATTTTCACATGAAAAAGTTGGGTATTCTATCAGCTTTTCTTGGAATTCAAGTTCAAACAATGAACTATGGCTTATATCTAAGTCAATCATAACACAAGAAATTTTACATCACTCAGATATGTAAAATAGCAAGACCGAATGAACTCCCTTCTCCACCAAATTGTTGTTGACTAAGCAGCTGACCTGAAAGTTTCACATTTCTGCATTTTATTGGTATTTCATTGGTTCATTACAATATCTCACAATCATCACGCTAGATATCTCCATTGCTTTTAATCTAGTCTGGCAACATATGTATAGATTTCTTGTATCACCGTTGCATATCTACTCTGGCAACATATGTATAGACCTTTTAGTATTCACTTCCAACTTAAATGGCCATTTTGATACATCCAATGTACAAATCACTTTGGCCTACCTATGTATCATGGATCACTAAAGCTTCTAGCATATAAAGATTCTGATTAGGCTTGTGACTCATAGATCATAAATTTACAATCGGATGTTGTGATTTTTTTCTTTTTCTTGTGGCTTGATTTGGTTACAACATCTTCAGTAGGATTTCAACATCCCCTCGCCATCCACTACGATATTGTATTGTGACAATATATGAGCTATATCTCTTATTAATAACCTGATATTTCTTGGATGAACCAAACATATTGAATTTGATTCACTTCATACGTGATTGCATCAAATATCAATACATCACAATTCATCATATTGCAACTCAAGATCATCTGTTTGATATTTTCATTAAGCTTCTGTCTGGTTCTTGCTTTACTCAGCATGAAGTTGACAATCGTCGTGGCATCATCACCTTGAGGGTGGTTGATAATAGTATAAAGTAGAAATACTTAGTGCTGCCAAATCCGGCACTTCAGCAATCTTATCTTTGTATTGTTAACAAAAGGATCTATTTTAGCCATTGGTTTTTAACTCTGTTATTGTAATTATATCAGCGCCACATGTATGTATATAGACAGCCCTATAGACAGTGAAACATGAAGAGAGAAGGATTCACTCTTTCTTTCTTTACATCTGTCTAATTTTCACTTCCTTCAGCTCTTTGTTTAAGCTTTTACTAATTTACTCACTAGAGAATGTTCTACTTACCCATGGAACTTGACTACGGAACCCATTAATTCTTCAAAGTTAGTCGACTGCTCATTCAAAATAAACTCACTGGTTGAATTGATTAAAGTTGTCATAAACAACTTGCCAATAGAATTCGTCCCATTGAACTGCTTCGAATGTGAAATTTTATGGGAGTCATTAAGTACTTAGATAACTATCAACCAACAAGACTCATTCATTAACACCATACATTTAGTTTGTCGGATAATCTAGTACTTTGATACCAATATGATCCAAAACTACTTGAAATTCAAAAAAATTTCTGTATTGACAAGTCCACTGAAAAATTTATGAACTTGAAGAGATGAAACCGTTACACAACATCAAGCAAAGAAGGAACCAATATACATATGCCTGAAAAGGAACATTATCATTTCATAAAAAAAAAACTTTAGGATAAAGTAATATCCTACTAAAAGGAGAAACTTAAAAAAATCCCCCAAGTCTTCAATTGTCCACTCTTGTATGAATGTGGTGGACAACAATTACAAGTAATGGGGTTGATTACAAGGTGTTGGGATAGTGACAAGGAGTGTGGAGCTTTTCTCCGCAGTTATCATAGGAACCGTTCAACTATAAGTCTAGTTTATTTTATTTGGTTTGGAGTAATACATATGGAATTCCGTCAATTGCGGAGAACAACTTTTGTTGGTTGTCTTAGTGTGCACAATTCACTCCAGTACATATATCTAATGCTTGATCAAGAAATCTAGAACAGCTGTAATTTTTATGCTAAAGAATTAATGAAAAGTATAGGGAGAAAAGAATGCATTTAAGGAAATAACTTAATTAACTTGCATTAGGGGAAATAGGTATAAGATAATGGTATATTGTAGGTCTGAATGAAGAATCATTGAAATAACATTAGATTTATTTTTGTATTGGCTAAAAGGGTTCTCAATCCTAGTAAGCTTATATGAAGGGAAGGATAATTTTTTTTATTTTTTATTTTTTATTTTTTTTGTATTGACTTGGTGATGCTTACAAAATATTTTTGAAGTTAGTTTCCATTGTATATGCCATTTAGAATTGATCATTCTAACCTGTGATATTTATACTAACATAAATGCTAAGTTAGAACAATGGATTAGGTGTCTGGATATATGCTACATAATAGTACTTGTGAAAATTGAGAATCATTAATCAATATTTTTTGAATATCAAATGACGAGTTTAATCATCTTGGGTTTATCATATTGAAGGATGTACATACATACATACATACATAAGGGAGAGAGATCTATGTGCGCACGCTTATGCATGCATACAAACTCTTGAGATTGTGCAATGCATTCGCATGACTCTGCTTACACAAAATTGGGATTCTTAAGATGGACCTTACCAAAATTAAGAATAATAGATTAATAAATAATTATATGAGCAAGGATTGTAGGAGCGGAACCCAAAGGAGATTAGCAGTTGAAGAAAAATGTTTAGTTAGCTTGATAGATGACTGCACTGACAAGATTCTGTAAAAAGCAATATGAAAGAATTAGAAAGGTGAAGAGAGGGTAGTGCAAAAGAACCATGGAAAAATTCGTGTTAAAAGATTTATGCCAAAGAGATTTAACTCCTAAGATCAAGACTCAGCAGTCTGCAGGAAAGAAGGAAGAATAAATATTCGTAAGGCCATCAATATGAATATCGATATAACATGTCTAAACATTGACATCATTGGCGACTGAGTTTTGCATTAACTGGGAAATTTTTTGCGACAATGCTCTCGAAGTCTGTCTAGGAATAAAGTTGATTACTTTCATTTTCTCTCTGCATTAATTTGATTGAAGCTGACAGTTTTGATCTAATGTTTTGTTTTGCTGCGTTAGTTGTCACAATTAAATGCTTCTTTTATTATGCAGGAGAAATGTACCTACGTCAGATGAAGTAGTTTTTGGTTTAATTGGAACTAATGTCGTTGTATACTTCTTATGGCAATTTGCTGATTTATCATTTATGAAGAAACATTTTGTGGTAAGGGCCTACCTGAAAGCACTATCAACTATTTTTTATTTATTTATTTTAATTCAGTTTCCACCATGCTAAGTTGAATACTGATTGGCTAGGATTCTCACATCAGCATTTACTTTGGGCAGATTTCATTGGAAAACCTTAGGAATGGAAATCTGCACACTATGCTGACTAGTGCATTCAGTCATGCAGAGCTTGGCCATCTTGTGACAAACATGGTCGGGCTCTTCTTTTTTGGTACAAATGTAAGATACGTAAAAAAATCTTGTGCTTTCATATTTTGTGACTTCTTTCTTCGTGATCGCAGTTACTTATGGTTTAACAAAACTAAAAAGAGAAAAGCAGAAACTTTTCACTTATTACTTCATAACTTTATAAATATGCTATCCTTATCTTTCCATGACTGTAAATTTAAAGTCAGACTTTTGCAAGTGGTTTTCTTATATGGAAATTCTATTGCACTTGTAGACTGCCGAGGCTTGTAGTTAAAGTCATGATATAACAATTAAGCAAGCCATGATACCTTTTGGGGGAAACTTCAAAATTCTCCAAAAGCCATCATGATCTTGTTAAAAAAGATCATAATAAACATTCTCTCCTAGCACGTAGAAATACTGAAATCTGCTGTATTTGAGCTCATAATATTTTATGCTGTAATGAATGTTGGTACTTAACTATATTCTGTATTTTTTAAGGATAGGCTTTTTCTCCTTGGAGATATTTTAGTGTGCTTCAAAAAGTCTGAAGTGTCTCGAGTATAATGAAGTAATTCTTATCTACTAATTTCCAGATTTCTAGACTTTTTGGACCCGCATTCCTTCTTAAATTGTACGTTGCGGGGGCACTTGGTGGATCGGTATTTTTCTTACTGCATAGGATATATTTAGAGGTATCTGAAAACGCTGCTGAATGGGCAGAAAATGTTCCACCTCTGATTAACTTTTATTCCTTACCGAGCATTTTTGTCAGAATCACCTTCATTGTTTATTAGAAATTAAGATGTGTATTTCTTGGAAATTTCAGAGTGCACAGCCCTTTTATCGGAGAGCTCATGCACTGGTATGTGTTTCTTTGGTCCTAGCATTTTCTTTTTATCAATTGATTTTTTCCATTAAAAAGGTTCAAAATGAAAATTTACTAATCAGCTTGTTCTCCGAGATTGATTTTGCTTTGCAGGGTGCAAGTGCCGCTGTTAATGCAATTATTCTTCTCGACGTGTTTCTCTTTCCAAAAAATATGTACTATGTAAACCTTGTCATACCAGTGCCTGCAATTTTAATGGTAAGCTGAATTTGCATTAGCAATTCTACTTTGCTTAAAGGTGGCAATAATTGAATTCTCCCATGCTTTATCATTGCAGGGAGCATTCATCATTTGTAGTGATTTGTGGAGGATTAACAAGGTATAAAATGATCTTGAATTCAACTTTCAACTTTCTTTTCATATTTGAGTTTGTGTAGCTTGTGTGAACTTGCGAAGTCTTTTTATCATTATGATTAACAGACTAATCTTTATCTAGTGATGTGGTTAGCTTTAGAATTTCCTTAGAATTTATGCTGATAACAACTGCATTTGGAATTAGTTCTTTATTTAAACCCGTTTTAAATGCTGATGATTTCATTATCTATGAGCCCATGCCACCTCAATTTTTCAGCCTTAATTATATGGATAGATCCTAATATGTGTTTTGCGTAAATTATAGAAGCAGGGAACGCTCAAACTTAAGCATGAGGCAGTCATCTTACACAATATTAGTAAAAAGTTTAGGTAAATATCGGTTTTGTGTTTTAGGTCATCTATCTTGTTGGTACATTTTTTCAAAAATTCTTTGTTTCTGTCTCTTGTGTTTTTCTATTTTTAAATTGAGGTTAAATGTTGATCTTTACTTTGATATATTTTTTTCTAATTATATTACATTTTTTGGTTAATTGAGCTCACTTACTATAATTTTTTATTAAAATTTGAAGGTTCTAAAATTTTTGTTACCTAGTATTTTATAGATTGTTCCAAATTGGTTGCTAAAATGAAATCCATATTTTGATAGAGTTGTTTTTTTCTTGTAAGTTTGCCGCGCCAACTCAAACGGTCCTTACAGGTCGAGTCACGCCATGTTTGTAATGTTATGAGGTCCATGTAAGCCAGGCAAACTCATTGAATTGATATCTGCGTTTAATTCTATAGGAGAGAGTTGGTCCTTCCTCTCTCATCTCTTTGCTCATTGACCATTCTAATGTTAGTGATCTTCCGTCATTCCCATGGTGGATTTCAATGTTAAGTTCCGACTCTTTGTCTCTTTTTACGTGACATCAACTTCAAGATCATCAACAATCGGTTATTGGCTTGGATTGTGGTTATCTTTTGCAGTCTTAAGTCCTTGCTGGAGGCACCATGAAGTTGTGAAGAATATTTCGTACATCGGAAGTACATCAGATAGGAAATATACGGACAATGTAGGGGCTTTTTGACTTTATTTTTCTCAATTAATTATTTTGTTAATAGGCAGTTATAAAAAAAAAAAATCTTTTATGTGTGGCTAAAATGGATGTGGTCTTTCAAAATGGACCACTATGAAGCATGATCTCTGAATTGGCCGTGAGTAAATATTCATGAAAACAAGGGTGAACGGTTAAACCAAGTTGTTCAAGCAATAGTGTTAACTCGAGACCAACCTTCAGAATAAAAAAAATCATCATAGTGAAACAGTTTTGATTTCAAAACGTTATTTGGCACTTTTATCTGTATAATGTATAAATTGTCAAGTAGGCCGGAGTTGTTTATATAAACTGACATTTTATTGCCACCTTCATCATTTGATTTGACCTACCTTTTGTCTCCCTTCTTTGCATTTGGTGTTTAATTTTTATATTTGAACGTTTTCTAATCGTCTTTCTCACCTGTACATCATGATTTCAGCTTGGAAGTCTCTTTATTATTTCATAAAGAACACTATTGGAGGAAAAGGGGCAAAAAAGCCTTTATAACATTAAAAAACTTGATGGATGCCAATCATCATGCATATTTACAAAATTAATGATGTCAAATTTATTATTTTTTTTCCCATCATATGGATGCTAATCATCATCATTATCATGATGTGATAATAAACTTTCATTTTAACAAATTGTCTTTGCCTCTGAACTGCATCTGAACCTTCAATAAATAACTTGCAGCTATGAAGGCTAACCAAGCCTGCATGGGATGGAAATAAATGGATTGCTTCATCTATAAGTTTATTACTTGAAAATTTATTTATGTGATGGCCCAATTAATATATTTTTTTTTCTCTTTTTTCTTTTTTTTTAAATCAAGGGCGATGATAATATCTCTGGATCAGCGCATATGGGAGGTGCTTTTGTGGCATTGCTAGCTTGGTTTGCTGTGAAGAAGGGCTGGTTTTGATCTTTAAAGCATATCATGAACTTGAACATAATGACGTTGAGTTTTGCCATTCATTATAAGAAATACCACAAATTCAGAAGTCGCTCCTCTCTTCATAAGTTGTCCGCTCCAATTGGAGAATTTCCAACAAAGTTTCTAATGATTCAATGAACTACAAAAGGTTGATATTGTCAAAGATTTTTAGAATTAGAAAGAGTGGTGTTTTGTTTATTTTAGGGCTGGGTCTTGCAATGCTTTAGATTATTCTTTGTTATTATTTGTCGGTGATGAATTAGGAGAATCATGAGAATAAGTTCTTGTAAGCTAATGAAAATATTGTGCATGTATTTTACACCAATTCTGAATTAGCATTTTGATGATTTGATTTGAGTACGATTATATATAAATTTAGAATCACTTTTTATTTTAGCAAAATTTTAGTTAAATAAAATATTAAGAGCTTGTTTATGAAGAGCTTGAGCTCGTTTATTAAGAACTTTTTCAAGCTCAACTTGAGCTTAATCCAAGCTTATAAGAATATGTTTGAGCTTAAGCTTGTTTATTATGCTATCACACACGGTTCATATAGGGATTGTCAAGCTCGGTTAATTGTCTTGCACCCAACTATATGATGATGTCCAAAATTAGCAATCACCCTGATTAATATTAATAAAGATATATGATCCATCAGGCTAAAGTCTTTCCTTTTTAGCCTGTCTTTGAAGTCTTTGTGAATGGCCTAGCTTGAGCTTTCTACAAATATAGTTAAGCTCAACAACCGAGTCAAACTCGAGCTTGGTTATTCAAGTCAAATTCAAACTTTTCTTCTTTTACTCGATTTGAGCTCGAGCTCAGTAAATGACCTTTAGCTAACAAATAATTAAACAGATTTTATTTGATTAAGCTAAGACTCGATTATACTCATTTACACTCCCTAAATAGGATTGAGAACTCTAGTCGGGTGACTTAATAAGAGTTTGATCTTGTCTGCTCTAGTTCTTGTGAAAAGAGAACTAGACTAGCGAAGTTATGATTGATGGCCATATCTTATTAATAAGGCGAAATGTTTGAGTGCCCAAGTGGCCTAACTATTTTGAATTGAACTTTTGAAGAAGATAATTTAGTAAAATTTGAATAACCTGCATGACTTTTTGAGACAATTCTCAGTGTGGTGCTCTAGTTACATAGCCTCCACACAATCAGAAAAGTGGAGATTTTGCAGAAACGTCCCCTTGATTATAAAGGTGTTTTAAGATTAGTTCAGAATATAATCATTAATCATTCACACTTGGAGATTTGTGCTCAATTTGAGATCATCAGATCAATATTCATTGGTGAGATCCTCCTGCTAAGGCACTCAACGTCATGAAAATGATTGGGGAAGGTAGAGAATTTGCATATAAGACTCCATAATTCTCAGGATTAGCATGGCTATAAGTTTAACTGTATGTGTTGCTTCAAGGTCACTATAGGGCATGCTCATGGGCCAAGTAAAAATAGGAAGCTTTACGTACATACCAAATGAAATTTTAAAATTTAATATTTTGAACCCTTTGAAAAATAATACTCCAATAAATGATCTGAAAAATTGAATCTTTATTAATTTGAAAACAAGATCATCGACTTGATATTTGTCACATCAGTCAACAACTTGACGGTAGTTGGCACGTTGGGATAAAACTCTGAAATATGATTTTTATATATTACTTTATTACATTTATTATATTTGCACCATCCATACAAACAATATCATAATTTCTTTCACTATCACAATTATTTTATTAAATGTAAATGTCTATCATCAAACCCCTTTGTCCCTGTTGTAAACTTTCATACTTAGATGCATAACACTTAAGTTGTAATATTGCATAAAAATATTACTAATATAAATTTTTTAAAAGCAAAATAAACATTTTCATAAACAGATTTTTGACTCAAGTGCTATAAATATAAATATAAAACTTTAATTGTTAGATATGTAAATAATTTATAATTGCTTGACATTCATGCAAATTTCTATAATTTTAGAAAGTGTATAGCTAATTGAAGCACCATGGTGAGAATCAGTAGGTGGCTCGTACTCATCATGTAAACTTCAAAATTATGTTTCCTTCGGTGCTGAGTATAATTGATTTATGTTTGTAGCTTACTCATAAACATATAAACTTCATGTAAGAAAACAAATAAATAGTTAGTTGAGATGTTACAGACACAATATACCCAAGTCTATTAAAAATTAATCAATAAATATTTTTCTTGATGAATATAATCTATTAATAATACATCCATGATCCCTTATCACAAATTTTCTTACGCTATACTAGGTGTTGAATCCTAAATTGACCTTTATGAACACGTTTCGAGAGTTAAAACCACATGAAGGAGAAAAAAGAAAAGAGAGGGTAAGTAGAATAAGTCAAGAGTTCCCTATGGAGTGAGCTCAGGGAGAAGTTCCTTTATTAGTTTTTTTTTCCTCCTATTTATAGTGGCGCATTTGTACAATTACATAAAAGAGAGAGCAGTTATGGAAAACTTTCTTAATACAATTGATAATCTAATTAATCGTATAAATTTTATATCATATATGTATTACAATTTGAATTCTAATATGATAGTAATTGGCTGGTCGAGTGACGATTTCACCTCCCAAAGTAAATATTGGTCGGTTGAGTGCCCGGTCGAATGAATATCTTGCTCTCCATAGAAAAAGCAGGTGGGTCGGCTGACTAGTTTGAGATCAAAGGCTCTTGCATGTGTCTTGGTCGGTTGGGACTGCATGTGTGGTCCGCCTATTAAATCTCTCGCAATAATGTGTTGGTGGATTCTGATCACAAGCTCATTTGTTGGACAGTAGAATGCCTTGATTGTCTGACTGTCATCAAGGCTGTTTGATTGCTTTGAGATTTGTGCTGATAGTTTTGGTGCCTACATATTAGTTTCCCAAATTTTTCTGTTTCTTAAAAGCGACGGCTATGAAAAGGACATCAAAATTATTAGTGTTCAATGGTAATAGAAACAAGAAAATCAATTCAATGACCCAGAGTGCTCTATAAATATAATTATAGACTAGAGATTGCCTCTCTTTTCATTATTTCGCCTTGGATATTTAAGAGTAGCACCATGGCTGATGGTTTGAGTAGGGCCGCTTTGGACCCCAAAATTCTGGCGAAGGTAGGCTATTGAGCACTGGCTTCTATAAAGAAGGATAGAGTTAAGAAAAGGAAACGGTCGAAGCCCGAAATAGTGTCGGTCGATCAGGTTATGGGCATGCTAAGAAGGCAGCGACCCGAAGAGATGGGCTTGTCGAGGAGGTAGCAACCTGAAGGGATGGATGTGCCAAGGAGCCAATGGTCTAAAGAGATAAGTGTGCCGAGGAGGCGGCAACTCAAAGAGATGGGCGTGCTGAGGATGCAACAACCCAAAGAGATGGATATACTGAGGAGGGAGCGGGTCAAGGAGATGGGGGTGTCCCTGAAGGTATGGATGTGCTAAGGAGGCAGTGGTTCAAAGAGATAGATACGTCGAGGAGACAGTGGCCTGCAGAGATAGGCGCGTTGAGGAGGCAACGACCCAAAGGTAATGGATATGCAGAGGCACTTGATCTCACCGGAGTGACAAATCAAACTGTTGTGCAAGGTTGATCGTATCGGGGTGGCCTGTCAAACCAAATCGTGTTAGGGTGGTAGATCAAATCAATGTGCAAGGTTGACAATGCTGCGACGGCCGATCAAACCAAAATGCAAGGGTTGATTGTGCCAGGGAAGCTGATCAAATCGTTCAAGTTTGATCGTGTTGAGACATCCAACCAACTAAACTGCGAGGGTTGATCATGTCGGGGAGACCGATAAAACCATGTGCAAGGTTGACTGTTTCGAGGTGATCGATCAAACCAAAATGAAAGGGTTGATCGTGCCTGGGAGGTCGATCAAACTAATGTGCAAGGTTGACCGTGCCGGGGCGGTTGGCCGAACTCAAATGCGCCATGGCTATCAGGCCATAGAGGTCGGTCGACGCCAAATGACATGTGCAACATGCTTCATGCAAAACATATCATAATGGAACTTGCAACACAATGTAAATAAAAGTGCAAGATAACAATCCATATTCACCCTATCGTACTAAAATGGGAACCTAGGGTTAGCATGATGAAATTATAAATACCAGTCTGTTTCTTAGCAATGAAGGTTCTACTTCAAACTAATCAACAAAAATGTAAAAGACCTTTCCATGAGGTCTCACTTTCACTAGTGAAAGCTCCTCTCATAGAAATATTTTTTTGTAATTTGGCATTAACCCATTTATTTGGAGTTAAGGCCGCCAAATAGTTGCGAGATTATTCATATCCCGCACGATGGGTCTTTGGTGCTAAGGGTTTGTAAAGAGAGAACACTTAGGATTTTCTAGGGATTTGTCCACGAGAGCTTCCTAACCTAGAAGGCCTCCCTCTAGCACAAAAGCCATAATTCTTAGATCTCTAACTGCCAGCCTAATGGCTCTAGGAAAAAGAGAAATCAAGAGTTTTCGGGGATCTTCACCTACATGGCAGTTGATGTCAAGTTTCCTCTTGTATAATGAAGCTCTTCTTGCTGTAGGAGATGTGGCGAAGCTTTCCTTTCCTCCCTCTCCAATGAAAGGATGAAGCTCTCCTTATGAAAGTAGGTGGTGTATCTCCTTCTTCCTTCTCCAAATAGTTGATAAAGCTCTTCGTATGAAAGGAAATGCCCTTTTTTTTCTTCTACAAAGCAAAAGGAAACTTTCCTCTTGAATTTAGCTCTCAAGGAGGACACACACTCTCACTCTCCTAGATATGATGTTGAGGGTATTAGTTTTGATGGATGAAATGAAGTGGAAGAAGAAGAAGCGGAAGAAGAGGATGTTAGATTTTCCCTTTTCTCCCCAAGCTCTCCCCTTAGCTCTAGCAAGTGACTCTCTAGCTGAAAAATGAACTCCTTCTCTTTGCTGAAATGAACTCTTTCCTAGGCTATTTTCAGCTTGATCCCTTACTACACCATAACAACAATCAAAATGGAGGGGAATTTCACTCCAATGCTTAAAATATGATGAAAATTCCACATGTCGCTCACCCATAGGCTCCTTGGGAGGTGAATGTCACATGTAGCACTCCTACTTAACCTCCCGAACTCATCATGGCCAATGGGGAAGTTGCTAAAAAAGAGGAAAGAAATGGTTAAAATTTTTGGTTGGACAAGCTATTCGCTCAGGCCAAAGGGCTTAAACCCTAAATTTCTTGAAGGCCGACGTGACCATGCCCGGAACTGGCATGGTCACGCCAGTGTCCTGGTGGCATATTAGTGTCATAATTACATCATGCTTTCTGTCTTAAGCAAGATTTGAGATTTTTTTGGTGTGACCTTGTCAGAACTGGGCGTGGTCATGCAATTCAAATTTATGTTTTCATGCCTTAGATGCGCAGCAGAGGTTCTAAATGGGTTCCCTTGGCCTCAGAAGGTTTTGAATAAATGGGAAATGATCTCTAACCATCGCAGAAGTCCTACTTATGTGTCATAATACCAAAATAACCCCTCAAATTGGTAGGCATCAACAGACGACGCAAAGTAGTTTGAAACCCTAACTCTCACCTGATAGTGCCCGTGTACCAACTTAGTGGCTCCATTTGGTTAGAGATGGGTCTGGATCGATGGGATAATGTCTTTAAACATCGAGGCAAGTTTCAAACTTGTCCAAAGTCAGAACCAACCTCGCCCCATGACGAATATTTTTCGGGTAGGGAAAAATCAGTATCGGTCCTAATTTTGTGCTCATGACACATATTAGAAAGTTTGGTAGGATGTTTGGGATGATAGGAAGCTAGATATAGTCTTGTATCCTTAGACGGACATCCTATTCATGTGACATCAAAAATTGATGCAAAAAATGACACAATGGGAGGTCAAACAAATTTAGTTTTTTGATTCAACGAACAAATAAAGAAGCTTGCAAGCATTTCAATCGTACATATTCTCATTTTAGAGCTGAGTCATGCAATAATATGCATAATTTATGTGTCATGGTTTTACACCAAACAATCATATTGTCTCGCCATACTCATAACGGTCGATAATAGTTGTAGCTTATATTTTATCACTTGAGATATACATGACTATGTCTTTTAATTTTTTTTCATTGATCATGCCTGATTCACATAGCACGAAAAAAAAAATGAAAAAAATATATATATCTATATTCTTTGCCAAAAGAGCTTCAAATTTTATGAGAAATAGGATCACTTGTGATATTATTTAAAAATAAAACTTTCAAATGAAAACTACCCTGATATGGATAATAAGCGATTTTCTTGCCTATACAATGATTGCCCATACTTCATGGATCTGTCAAATGCATTTACTTTAAAATACGATAGGAAAAAATTATGATTTAACTATCATCAGATGTTCTTATCTCCTAATCACCCATTCAAAAAAAATGAAGATGCCTTTCGAAAAAATTGAGATGTGAAATCAAGGCATCAATGATAATTAGGCACAAATAGTTAGTGCAATTCTGAAGCTTATTGATTCTTTAGAACTATCTTCACATCGTTTTCCTAATTTTGGTATTACTCATAACTGGATAATTTTTTTTTATTAGGATCTGCCTGACTGGAGGATTAATTTGATTAGACATAATCTTGATGTCATGCACATTAATTTTTTTTTGATAATACATCAACGCTGCCAAGATTGTTAAGAGCAAAACATAAGGTTATGTTAAAGTCAGATTAAAATTGAAAGGGAGTTATAAGTGAAGAGAAACAAAGCTTCAAGATGTAGTTATTGGTAAACATTTAAAGTCCAAAGCCAAGTATTATCTTACTTTAGATCAACAAAAAAAATATATATGAATGGTTGTAATTTTTGAGCCCCCTTAGCTAGTATGCTTCTAACTCGAGTTATTGTGTCGACATGAGAGCAAAGAATATTTTTGACATATAAAATCACGACTACCCTATTTTCTTGTAGTGTTTTCTGTCTACAACATGTAACGATTTACCAAGTTAAATATTTAATTAGTTAATTAAAACTAGTATATTCTTCAAAAAAATATTTCAGTTCATTTGAGTGTTGATTTATTAAGATAATTTGAATTAACATTTCGTCGAGCTTATGCAATCTTGAACGATTAGTTTTTCTTAGTTTTGTTTTTTTTTACTCGATGGAGCATCTACCTATATGTCTGCTTATATGTCTGCCTTATGAGGTTATAAAGGGTGCCCAATATAGTGCATGTGGATGTATCTATTTGGATATGTCTTTTAAATGACTAATTATATAATTTATAAAAAAAATTGTTAGTGTTGTACTAAATAATTAATTTTACTGTATAATTTTGACTAAAATTAAAAAAAGCCTTGAAAAATAAAGCAGGACCTAAAGGCTCAACATTCAAGGCATACTTGTTGCATGACATGACTATTTTAACTTTATATTACTTTGAGAATTTAGGAAGATTCCTAAGATCCCAAAGCATAGTTGCCAATCACATTGAGTCTAGATTCTTAAATTTTAGTACAACAAGAAGACATGAGGAGGAGTCCTACATAGAGAGCATATTAGAGAGCATATAGCCTAGGCACTACCTACTCAGTGTTTAGGCTCCACCTACTCAGTGCTTAGGTGCCAAATCCAATGCCTTGTGTCATTTTTGTTAGAGCTAAAGTGCTATTAAAGTCAGCCTAAATGACTAGAAGCATGAGAGCTATCATGGAGCCTCATTATCAGCCCTAGAGCACTGCAATTCCAACTTCAACATTTATTTCATAATTGTAGTGTTGTGGTGTAATAGCCCTTAAGAAAAGTTATTCCCCTCAAATTTTAAATTTCTTGTGGGGGGGGGGGGGGGGGGGGGGAGGTGGGATTTACTTAACTTAAGTTGCTTTTGACTTTAGGGAGAATTATCCAATGATAACGTGTCATTAGGAGTGCAATTCAATGCTAAGAGTGCCCAGAGCGAGTGAGTGAGAGTGAGACCTTTTTAAAGTTTGTTAAAATGATTTTATTTGGTTTGGTGGAGCAATGAGAACAATTTAATAGAAGGGCATGGAGATGACAACAATCACCACATTCTATCTTTTAATGTATATATTTTCTTGTTTGAAACTTTATAAACACACTATATCAATGTGAAATGTTCCTCGTGTTTTTTTTTTTTTTGTTATACCATGTTAAGCTATACTCTCTTGCTTATATGAATTTCAGGACTTTAGAATAAATGATTTTAAATTCATTTGAAATATTTTTAACTCTCAAAAGTTGTTTGTGAACCATTCTCTTCATTTCATAATTAGTCGTGGACATACCATTGTTTAAAATATAATGTGGGTATGGGATACCAACAGAGTTCTTATTTGCATATGGAGATTCTTAGCATTATTTTAGGGAAATGATATATTCTCCATGAAACTCTACAATCACTAGGAAAATGTTCTTATTCAATTTTTTAAATGTACCCGTAATTTGAGCATTTATACATATAGTCTTAGGGTTTTGAAAACTAGGTATTTTTATTGCTATCAACAATTGCCTTTAACCACATTTACTTCTGATCGATGACTATATGTATCAAAGCTTTTTCAATGCATTTATTTCATCAACCCGAATCCATATAAGAATTTTATCACATTTGAAACTCCATAAAAAGCTAAAAAAATCATCTTTTTAAATAATCATCTTTTAGACTTAGAGATATTAAACTAGTGCATTGAATTTAATTTACATACACCTTAAATCTTCATGGGGACGATTTCAGACTCAAATATATTTTATTACTTACACAACACATGTACGTTTGTAAGCCAAAGTAAAGTCGGGTTAAGGAATCATCATCAACTGAGAGAAAAAAAGTAGAAAGAAAAAACAAGGTGATGAGATTAGGGTGTTTGGTTGTATAAATAGAGTTTTCGGGTGGACAATCTGTCCAAAATGCTTTGAGAGTTTTTGTTAAACAGGTTGCTAGTATTATTATTGGAAAAATTCACTAGAATTATCGGAGTAGTGTCCTAAAAAAATTTGACTAGAAATTGCTAATAAGTTTTTTCACTGTAAATTCACTGCAAATTTTTTGGTAGATTACTTATGTTGATTTTTTCACTAATTTTGGCTCTGTATCATGTAATGATTTTTTTCATATGATAGTAAAGAATATTAATAGACAATAATTTACCATGTAATGAAAAAAATTCAAAAAAGAAATGAACATATAAAAAATATATATACATCTTAATAGAAAAAAATGTGTTAAAAATTTTAAGATTAAAATACTTCTAAGAAATAAATTATATTAAACTTAAATAAAACTAAAAATTTTGATTTTTTTTATTATACTTATGAGCTAACGAAATGAAACTTAATTTAAATAAAAAATTAAATTTTATTAATCTAATTTTAATAAAATAAAAGAAAGCAAAATAAAAAAATAAAAACAGAAAAAAGGACTATTCATTAATATTATTTTAGCAAAATAAAAATGGATAAAATAAAAATATTTAAAACATAAAAAATAAAAATTAGGAACAAGTCTCCAATTGGGCAACTTGTTTCCCTTTTTCTTATTTCATTATTTAGAGGATTTACATTGATATCACATAATTCATATGCATTTACTTATCCCACAATTAAACTTTAACATTTACTTATATAACATCAAATTTTTTTTCATTAATCATTAATATTAGTTTTTCTTAAATGAACACACCTTTTTATGCTATATCTCTAAATTTTTATAGAAATAAAAATCAAAATCTCGGTAGTACAAATATAAATACACAAGAATTTTGTGGCAAGTTAAATTCCATTTTTTTTTTAAATTATGTTTCTTATTTTCATTAATTTAATACTAGTGCTTCTTTAAAAAGAAAAAAAAAAATCCATGTTCATTCTTATTTGGAGATTCAAACCCATTTTGAAATCCATACCGAAGTGATGCGGTATTTTATAAAAAAAATCGACTATAATCATATTCCTGTTTTAGGGTCTGTTTGGGGCAACTGTAGCTTATCCAGGCTATTCAGTTAAACAACTTATTCTCATAATCTGTTGATAAGCTAGCTAGCTGTTTGGTTTGTGTGTTTCGAAAACAGCTAATTCTGGATAAATGACAATTACGTCCATATTCTGGATAAACTATTTAACTGTTTGGTTTGTGAGTTTCACCAAAAAATAATAAAAAAATTTAAAAAAATTAAATTTTTTTTTAAAATTTTATTTAACAATTGATAATATTCATGAAACATACACCAGGAAGCAAACATAGGCTAAACAATTCAAATCACAATTAATGTATTGCCAAGCAAATTATAAAAAATTAGCCATTTTCCGATATAAAAACCCATTCATTACTTGCATACTGATTTATTTGTATATATAACATTTAATTAAACATACCAGGCCCTCGCACAGAAGATTCAAAATCAAATGAACTATAAACTGTTCATCATGAGGAAAAGCAACTAAGCAATCATGTATTTATTGCAGAATATGTCACTATAGATCTGTAACCCAGTTAGCCCGACTCTTCGTTGCAACGCCACTTCTCGCTTAATCAGTGTATGGTTGTAGCTGCCATCGTGCCCAAAAGAAGACTACCTTCTTAATGAAACACAAATGGTGTAGAGATTTATTTCAGGTTCAAATAGATGCCAACAAGATCTGCAGAGCCAGGCAATTCCTATACGTGACTCCACGCTTCTCTATAAGCATCCTCTTTGCATTCACATGCACGCTTCGTATAGTTTATTTGCATATCTATAAGTAGGGCCATGTGCGCCTACAAATCTCATATCTTCACCAACGAAATGCTGTATAGTTTTCAGCCACCGAAGCTCATATACAGACTACTTAAAATGGTGTAGCTTTTGGGCTACCTGGATGAAAGGAGTTTTTGAATACTGCACTACTGTTGGGAGGAAGATTTTGCTGAGCTGAGATTCCATCTAACTCACTGGAAACAGTGCTAGTCATGTAAGAAGAAAACAATGCTGCAGGAGCTGCATCCACTTGAGATGAAATGATTCCAAACTGTGTGAAGCAAGTACTTCTGTTTGATTGTTCCGGACAGTGGTAGTAAGATGCATGAGGAAAGCCTCCATTACCAATCAAACCCAAAGCTTGGTCTCCTCCTCCTCTTGTATTATTATCATACAGAAGATTATGATCTTGATGAAATTGAGACTCTGCATTATATACACCAACATCTTGATAGATTAAAGCTGCACTTGGTGATGCTGCTTGGCGTTGTCTTTCAAAATTCAAACATTGATCGTGGTTATTATTCTTAGCTTTTGAAGATTGATCAAATGACTGATGAAAGTGAATGAAATTTTGAAAGTCGAGAGGTGGAAGCTTGTTGATTTCCTGTCGAGCAGCATTCAATAACCAATCTACAACTTTACTGGGCTGATTAAGACCCAGTCTGTCCTGGAGGTCATATAGTTGTATAGCTGTAGGGACTGAAAGCCTTACACGACGATCTCTGAGCCCTCTTATTGTGCTTACTTTGCTGTGTCTATCTTTTCCTCCGAATGCTTTTGAAACTCTAACAATTCTTGGATCTATAAGGGCTGACCAAAGTCTGCTGTTTGAGCTAGTTGCAGTCTTGTTGTTGATTGTTGAATTGTCTTCTGTATTATCAGTGCTTAGAAACTGATCTTTTTCTCTCGTATCTGTTACCATTTTAAGAGTACCGATCTATTTCTCATCACTGAGAACAGTTTGTTGGAAATTCATTTTGTCCATATAAAAGCTGAGTGACTTCTTCAAGAAAATAAGCCATTGGTAAGTGACTGTCTACATGCATACATATATATTTATAAATGATTTCTCGATAAAGCGACATATATGATTAAATATATGTTTGCTAGAGACGGATTTAATCGATCGGATCTTTAAAATCAACAAAAGCTTGTAACATCTTGTTAGGTTTACAACAACAATGAAAGATGAGAAAGCTGGGAAGAAGGCAACTTGGTATGCTTTTTGCAGCTGAATTTGCTGGAATTTATAAAGCTATTCAGAGAAATTGTGCATGTTTGTTATTTATCAAAAAAAAAAACAAAGATCTGCATGCGTTGTAGTGATTTTTTATTAATTTACAGTAGATCGAGCAGGTGATCGGCAACGGAGGACAGAAATTCTTATAGAAATAATAATGAATTTCTTATATTGAGCTTCGTGCCAGTTAACTTTATTGTATTGAATCAGTTGACTTGGAAGATGAACATAAATTTTAATTAGCTGTATGAAAATCAGGTACATCGAGACAACGCAACGGCCAAAACTGAAAAGAAAAGAGAAGATGATCACCATGTATATATATATATATATATATATGCTTAT